CCACCAGTTTATCAATATGGTTGAACCTCTTATGAGCATTTGCCATTCTCTGAAAGAACTTTGTATTTTTGTCCCCTTGTTTTATCCACAGAGTTCTAGATCTCTGTCTCCAAGCTATCTCTTCCTTTTTTGCGTACTCTTCAAACTCTTTTACCACACTTGCTTTTTGAAGAGTCTCTTCTTCAGTTAAATGCCTGGACTGTTGAATGTTGTCAAACTCATGAACTCTGTTGAGCATTTCCTTCTTTCTTTTTTCCAGGTTCCCATAGGTGCTTACACTCCAGTCTTTCAGTTTAGTCTTCATAGCTTTCAGCTTGGAAGCTAGGATGAAATCAGGCCTCCCTTCGAATTCAAACGATGTCCACCAATCTTTAATTCTTTCATAAAAACCCTCGGTCTCCAACCACCATCCTTCAAATTTGAAATATGATTTTGTATGACTCCAACGACCACTTTTAAGTGCAATTGGTGCATGGTCGGAACAAACTCTAGGTAGTAATTCTTGCTTTACATTGCAGAAACTCTCCCCCCATTCAGAGGAGTACATAATTCTGTCTATCCTCGAAACAGCTTCCAGGTTGGATCCCCTGGCCCACGTGTAGTTCCCCCCTTCAAGTGGTGGATCAATTAGCTCCATGTCCTCAATAACATCAGAAAAATCATTCATGTACACAGAGGTTCTGGAGCAGTTCCTCTTTTCTGAAGCATATCTAACAATATTGAAATCACCCCCAAGAACCCAAGGCCCTGTAAATAAACTCCTGACAGCCCCTATCTCCCACCACACCTCCTGTCTTTCTAAGTTGCAAGTTGGTGCATATACCCCTGTCATGTGCCAAGTGAAACCATTTACCCTTGATTTAAAACTGCAAGTCAAGGTGTATGAACCTATCTCCACTACTTCCCTTCCCAAACATTGTTGTCCCACATCATTAATATGCCTCCCCTAGTGCCACTAGCCTGCAGTTCCCCATATTTGACCCCTCTTTTTCCCCACACTTGTTTAATTTCCTCCCCACTATTTCCTTCAAGCTTTGTCTCCTAGAGGGGTAGACCCATTATCCACCGAGTTTTGGACCTTGCACCATTGGCTCTAGGGAATATCTCGGTTTTAAAAAAAGTATCTTCAGACAAGTTACTTTCTCTTTGATGTGAAAGTTCTTGTGAGTTTGGTGGATTGAGGTCAAATGATGTTAAAACAAATAAAATTTTGAAGCGTGCATCTCAATGGATATTATTTGTTAAGCGTAGCTAGAAGAACACTTTCTTTCTCTTTATGGATAACCAATTCATTTTCAAATCTAGTTAGGAGACTTTACCAAGAAATGGGTAAAAAACACCAAGATTTTGCGGTTCTTTTTGTTGGAGTAGCTGTGAGAGATTTAAATACTGATTGGTTGGCTGTTATATGCTTGTGTGTGATTATGCTTTGACAGGTTGATCTTGGAAATCCTTTGGCGTCTAAGGGTGTGTTCGATATGGTGGAAAGAAGACAATGTTTTCCAATTTTCCATGTTTGGTTGGTCAAAATTTATGGAAAATATTTTTTCTAAGAAAACTACTTAAAAATGGGAAAATGACTTCCCTAATGGAAGTAGGGAAAACAAGTTATACAAGTGGCACCACACATTGATTGTGTCCCCCCACCCTCCAACATAACTCATTTTCACTCCCTTCCCCGAGCCCCCACCTCCATCACCCCACACCCCTACCCTCCACACGACCACACCCACCTCCCTTACTATTTGTCTAGAGAATAATATTTTTGCTTACCTACCAAACATAAGAAAATATGAAAGAAACCCACCTTTTTTCCGGGAAAACATTTCCTTCATATGAACACACCCTAAGATATCACTGTGATTCTCATGTCTCTTCAGCGTGTTGTTTACTTTTGACAACATCTGTTTAATGCATCTCACCATATGTGGCAGAGATGAGTATTACGCATGGGGATTGCATCGAATAGCAAAAGCTGTGAGCTTCTTGAATAATGACTGCAAACTTGTAAGTAAATATCTAATGGAATGGATTTGCTTTCCATGTTGAAGATCACATTTAGCTATATTCTCTGGAAGTGATTTGGAAGTTTTGACTATTTGCTAAATAAGATATTGCTCCATAGGTTTGTTTATTTATTTTTGGTGAACAATTTTTTTTTTGAACTTGGGTAACTTCTAGTTTTGGTAAACAAAATTATTGATACCAATTGGAATAATTACAAAACCAGACAGGAGCAGACTTCCTATCTCTAAAAAAGAAACAAAACAGTTCTAATTCTACAGCTTACTGCAAACAGACTGCAGTAGCTTTGTACATAAGATGTTTAGATGCATTTGTTGTATACTCAATCTCCATAATTTAGTCCTTGGACATGGCAGAACCTGGATTTTGGAAGATGGGCCAACTTATACTGAAATTGGACATAAAGACACTAGGGTATCCATTTTTCAAGGAAAATTAAAAAATAGGCAGACTTTTAGAGATTTAAATGTGAAAAAAAAGTAAAAGGGACCATCATCTGCCTGTCCATTTTCATCTGTTTCATTGGCAGTATCTCTTCAGCTTCCCTTTGTACAGAGTTTATTCCAATCTTATCAGAAGGTGGAAAAGGAGATACAACCTGTTAAAAAGGAAGAAAAAAATTAACAAAGAAAGAGGAGATTATATAATGTATTTTTAATGAACAAGTAATTGGCCTGTATATGAGGTAAAAGAAAGTCAAGTTCTGAAATTACTGTACTTCTCCAAAAAGCATAAAAACTAAAACCATAATGACACCTTAATACACTGAAACCACTATAAGTTTACTTAAGTCATTGGCATGTTCTCTACTCCTTTGTGCCCCCCCCCCCCCCCCCAAAAAAAAAAAAAGAAAAAAACTATCTGATTTCTCTTGGTTTGATGGATTGTTTCAGATTGTGCTTTATTGCTGCAGGTTCATGGTAATGTTTGCCTGGCTAGTGTTGTCGTTACTCGAACTCTAGACTGGAAGTTGCATGCCTTTGATGTTCTTTCGGAATTCGATGGGAATAATGAGTCTTCTGCTGGACCAATGCTGGTAACTTATTAGTCACCTCTGCTTCTGGGTTAGATTAGTGAACAAAAGTTCTTTTTAAGTTTTCATATCATATTATCTCAATTTATGTTCTGAACGAAATAACAAGGGATCTTTCCAGACGCCGCCACTTGTTAGCTACTTTCTTTCTTCTGTTCAAGTAAAGTACATAATGAACTAATTATCCTTAAATTTATCTTTTTCAATTTTCCTCTTAAAAGATTTAAATTTCTTTCTTTTGCAATTTTCTCTGATCACATTGATTTTATTGACCAAATTGTGCTGTAACACTGATTTTTTTTTTTGTCTTATGCTACATTTTAGTGTTTGAAAAATAGCTGGGTTGTTATTTTTAAACTGTGAGCCACTGGCACTCGGGGATTTTTTTTTCTGATCAGAAAAGTAAGTATTTTATTGATGTAAAGCAAAGAAAAAACCAGCATAAAGGAAATGCTGCTGCAAAAGCACATCCGAAGAGAACTTTACAAGTCAACTGGCCCTCAGGGATTTCTTAATTATAAAAGAAAGATCTATAGCTGTGCTGTTCTTTTCTTCTTCAATTGTTTTGTTTTTGCTGGGTGGACTACATTACTATCTCATATATTGTTGCAGCATCATCCATTCTGCAGTCTGATGAGTTAATGCTATTCCCTCTCCCGTTTGTTATGCCGCTTAGTGAATGATCTTTATAAATTTATATACTTTTTACCTTTTGTTTTTGTTTTCAGCAATATGATTGGCTTATTGGTGCACAGTACAAACCCATGGAGCTACTCAAGTCTGAGTGGGCGGCAATAAGAAAATCTCCAGCTTGGGCTATAGATTCTTGGGGTTTGGGTTAGTCTCTGTATCTTTGGTTTTAGATGGGCAAGTTGGACATCTTCTTTAGTTTGTTAAAAATATCATTATAAGAATACAAGCTTTCTTGTCATTAGTTTATGTTTCTATAATTAGGTTTCACATTCGGGCATTTAGTTTATGTTTCTATAATTAGTTTTTTCGGAAACAGTCTCTCTACCTCCACGAGGTAGTGGTAAGGTCTGCATACACTCTGCCCTCCCATATCCCATTTAGTGGGATTTCACTGGGTATGTTGTTGTTCTATAATTAGGTTTCACATTTGGGCATTTGAACATTGTTTGTTCTGGTGGGACCCTGTCAATGTTTCTTGCCTTTTCATTTCCTTTGTGTAGAAAAAACTAGAAAGCATTCACACTATCAACCTTTTCTTAGCTAATGACTAAACTCCATACTCCATACCCATTTTCAGATCATCGTTGCGATGCATTTTGGGTTTGTCTTTTTTTTTTTTAATTACTTGGAAGGGGGTCACAATTTTTGGATGTAAATGGATGTTACAGCTTTTGGTTAGCCTTTGGAATGCTGCATTGGTTCTTAAATTTTCTTCTTCCACCATGAACTAATCTTTTGCTCCTGGGTATTATTAGGCTGTCTTATCTATGAACTCTTTTCTTGTACAAAGTTGAACAAAACAGAGGAGCTGCGTAAAGCATTAACACTATCAACCTTTTCTTAGCTAATGACTAAACTCCATACCCATTTTCAGATCATTGTTGCGATGCATTTTGGGTTTGTCTTTTTTTTAATTACTGGGAAGGGGGTCACAATTTTTGGATGTAAATGGATGTTAGAGCTTTTGGCTCGTCTTTGGAATGCTGCATTGGTTCTTAAATATTCTTTTTCCACCATGAACTTATCTTTTGCTCCTGGGTATTGTTAGGCTGTCTTATCTATGAACTCTTTTCTTGTACAAAGTTGAGCAAAACAGAGGAGCTGCGTAATACTGCTTCCATTCCAAAGGTATTGCTGCTAAGTTTCTGGTTTTTATTTGCATTCTCTTGACTATTCTAGCTATATTCTTGTATCCTGTCACAATTGGCTTATGTTCCTGTCTCACAGTCTCTACTTCCAGATTATCAACGTCTCTTAAGTTCTACCCCTGCTCGCAGATTGAATTCATCAAAACTTCTGGAGAATGGTGGTAAGTATCCTTGTTTTAATTTGAGTTTGTTGTTTAAATTTCCTTCTCTAGCTTTCCGATTTGCAGATGGTATCACTATTAACTTTGACTTGCAAAGTTGTTAACTTATTTTTCGGATAAATGTAATGATTGCTTAATCTGCATCGATATATGTTACACACGATATAATTGTTGTGGTGGTATGGATTAAGTCTTTCAAACTGTAGATATTAGCTCTAGATATGCTTGATACTATGTTTTATCTTGCTTCTGAGTCGATTCTTTCCAAAGAGAGATTCACAGAGAAGTGGGTTTGTTCGTTTTAGAAATGGGCAAATGTCTAGCTATTACGTATCTTTGATCAGTAAATCAAAGTTTCCTGGAGGTGGAATATAGTATTTGTAGTCTGTTGTGATTCTTTCATCCTTCCTACCTTCCACTATTTCTTTTGAAGAAAAGGTCAACTTATTTCCCCTAGCTCCCATGAAACCTCTGTTTTAGTTGTGTTGTTTTCATGGTTAAAAAGTGCTTTTAGAGATTGATTGACATGGTATGGTCCTAGATATTTATCATGAAAGTAATTTATTTCATTTCCTCGTCAATTTTGTTTTTTCCTTATTATCCTTCTCACAGAGGCATCTCGTTGTAAAACTTTATAGCCAGTGTTGATAGCTAAATGGAAGTGGAATTTGTGCATACATATCTCTCTCACCTGGTCTGTGTATACATCTTACATTCCAAGATTTCTCTATTCCTCCCTGGATTTTTATTTCTTCTCTGAACCTTATTATAT